TAAGTGTTTTTTTCTTCTTACAAGCAAAAAAAAAACTTACTCCATGTCCATGTAGATGTGTAATGAGTTACTTTTTAGATGATGTGTCTTATTTTAAGTGTAATGAGTTACTTTTTAGGTGATGAGTCTTATTTTAAGTGTAATGAGTTACTTTTTAGGTGATGTGTCTTATTTTAAGTGTAATGAGTTACTTTTTAGGTGAAGTGTCTTATTTTAAGTGTAATGAGTTACTTTTTAGGTGATGAGTCTTATTTTAAGTGTAATGAGTTACTTTTTAGGTGACGTCTTATTTTAAGTGTAATGAGATTTGTTTTGCCTAAATAAGACATTTTGACAAGAAATGAGACAAATATTCTTGGTAAGATTTTGAGTTTTTGCAGTGCACAGGCTGAAACAACAATGAATACTCACTGTGGTAGTATTTAAAGATACTGAATATTGTGCAAAATATTGTCAACCAGCAGCTTCATACAAAAGAATCTGGTTCAGACTTCTATCTTAAAACAATATTAGTGAAACCCTGTTGCAAATGCACTGACAAAACTTTAGACTGTAAATGGTTTGTAAGGCAGGGGATGACTTCACCTGCATCTTCAATAGCTTCACTTTAGTGGACAATTATGAAAAAAAATGCACATGTACTGAAAGTGAGTTGTAGACTGACTGAATGTGGAAACACTGAGACATGCTGTTGAATTTGCTCATGTGTTTTTCTTGATTTTCTTGATGATTTATCAATGTACTTTGTAGGAGTTGTTATTTATGGGTTATTATGCACTGGTTTTACTGGTCCGGCCCACTTGAGATCAAACTGGGCTGTATGTGACCCCTGAACTCAAATGAGTGTGACAGTCCTGCATTGTAATGTCTGACTTACCTCCCAGAGTCATCGAAGCAGACCTCGGTGTGTCCCTCCGAGTGGACGAAGCGGATCGGCTTCCTCTCACACGGCATCTTCACAAAGCACCACACTGACAGGCAGAAACATACGAACACATGAAGGTACGTGAACCTTAAACAGTTATCGTCTGCAGAGTTATTATCACATCACTGGTTGTCAGTTAGCAGAACAGTTGGGCTAACGCTAACAATACAGCCTGTGTCATTAGCTAACTTACGCTATTTCAAACTCAACGGATGGATCGATGAACGGTGTTTCCGGTTTGACACGTTCAACTCGGACTAAACAAGGAGGTTATCTAACTAGTTATGACTCCAGAAAAGATTTAATATGACAACTTACAACTTCCCCGGCTGACTGACTGTCTCCACTGAGTCGATCCTCTTCTCCTGAATCTCCCGCGCTGCGTCAAAAACAAGGAACCGCTGCGTCACGACTCCCGCCAGCTACGTCATGACGCAACGGACGTAGCTCCTCTCACGTCAGAGGCAGGAAGCGAATGTCATAAAAGGCACGGCTGGATTATTATCAAGTATTTTAAATATGATGATAACAAATTGTGAACCATTGTTATCTTTTTTTAATCTTACCAGGGAATTTTATAGTCATAACCTAAAATCCTTAATTAAATGCCTTTTTAAAAGTTGTTTTTAATTTCAATTTAATGCTATTTTGAGTGTATTAAATTTGTAACAAACTATAAATCCATGTCAGAAGCTAATATTTACTTATTTAGATGTTTGTTTGATGGAGTCATTATGAAAATTATTCTTCTCTTCCAATGAATTGGTGCAATTGATTGTACACTCTTACAACTATGTAAAGGTAAGAGTAAGAATACAAGTAACCAGTGTAAAACCAGTTAAAAGCATATTCAATTACTAGTATGAATTCTTCAGGGTAAAAATACTCTGTTACAAGTAAAACTCATGCAATCAAAATTCTACTGTCTATCTATAAACCTTTATTGATCCCCAGTGGGAAAATTCAGATGTTGCCGGAGTACTAGTACAGCCAGGTTTAGTACAGATAAGTAGAGAAAGTAAAATAAAAATAATAAAAGTATATAAAACCAACATAGAAATAATATTTTTTTAATTAGTAAAAGTTTGAAGTACCAAAAGTTAAAGTACGGTCTGCTTCAGACTCATGTATATTAGATTACTGTATGGTAATTAGTGATGAATTAATGTCAATTTAAAGTTAACTTTCTACTTAAGTAGAATGTACAGACATTTTATGTGAACCATTAAATGCATTGAAATTACCTATTTTTGTGAACCACATTTCATCTACCTGTACAATATGAATTTGGAGAAATACCTTACACACCAATCAGTATCACCTCTCCTTTAACATACATCTGAACAAATCATCAAAATAATTAAACAAAGTTGTCATTTTGACACATTGATGCTGTAACTGCATTTAAGCTGGTTGAAAAGAGGGTGAAAAGAGATCTTAGATGTTCAATATCCACCAGTTTTCAACTAGAAATTAACACTGAAATCTCGGTTGGTCCTCATTGGGTTTCAGCTGGTAAATGTGGAGCTTATTCTAATGTAAAGTAAAGTGGTCAGATAAATATAGTGAAGTAAAAAGGTACAATATTTGCAAAATGTCCCAATTCAAGCTCTTGTAGTAGCATAGTAGGTTTTCTGGCGCAACTTTATAGACTTCCATCATCGTACTCTGTCTGACAAAGTAGGAATAGTAATTGTGTTATTCATTTGTTTTAATAATACAAATGTATGAAAAGTTAGATTCAGTGTATCTGCATTAAAAACAACTATTTGAGGTTTGATTAATATTCCTTCATTCTCACATTAACTCCAACTGGGGCTCAAATCATATATTTCAGACCACTTTTTACATTGCAAAGCACCTAAATGAAACAGAAAGTTAAGTTCATTCACTCATGCTTTTAATTATTTGATTATTTATAAGCTCTGTATGCACCTCTTGGCTGCCAAAGACAACCTGCCACCACCTGACTGAATCTCCACTCACCTGTTTGAATGGCATCTCAGGGGAGGCTTTGATTAGTGCAACAGGAAGTGCTCTGTTGGCAGGCAGCTGGGTGTCTAAATATCACACCACTGAAATACAACAGTGTGTGTAAGAATTAGGACATGTACAACAGACCTGATGTGTGTGTTTTAGGCTGCACGTGACTGTAAGTCGTCCTGGATGAACTCAAAACGTAAAAACCAGTGTTTCATTTCTCAGATTTAGATATCAAATGTATCCTGGATCTAATGTAACACAAGACGTTGGTGTTTGAGGTGCTGAAAAATGATGCTGGCTAACTGGATCATACAAGACAACATTAATATTTCATGTATATGGTTCAGGAAAATCAATAGATGTGGCTCCTGAACTCTGTCCATTGACTGAGCGTTGACATGTACACAGAAGGAGAGATCAAAAGCAAAAATAGACTTTGTCTGTGGCGTAAATCTGACAAGCGTTCCTCATTGTCAATGTTGCAATTTAGTACTGACCTTTGATAAAGCTGGGGGACTTTTTTTAATAGTTAAAAATATCGAAGCAGCTGAGGCTCAAATATCCTTACATTTCCCATCATGCAACATAAATGTAGTGTGGGTCGTGGTGCAAAAGTGGTTTGCAGGTCCATCCTGAATGGACCACAAATGACTTGCAAAACGTGTCAAGTTTGTAAAAAACACGCTTTATTTTGGAGTACAATACATTTCCAGCACAGAGCTTTTATTTTTAAGTACCATTTCCTGCTGTAGAGTGAGTGAATAACAGACAGGTGCTTAACAGAGACAGCAAACTAGCTTGACGACATGGCCAAACGCAAGTATGACACAGAATATATCAAACTGTGTGGACCCTAACCTAATGACTAAGGAGAAATCTGGACCCCATGGCTGGACCAGTTGAGAACCACTGATGTAGAGCATACCTGAAAAATCTGCAAGTCTTTCAAACTCCACACCTTCTGGTTTAGATTTTCTGTTATGACTTGTTATCTGACCTTCATATGTCATGGTATTCTCCTTTAAGCAGGACTAATATACTTTGTTTCGGGTAAATCTAATTTCTTTTAACAAAGAAATACACAGCCATTTAGCCTGACCCACCCTTAAAAATGGAAAACCTTTATATTATGGAAGAATTTACCAGCCTAAAAACTAAGAATTTAATTGGCAACAACTGCAAATAGAGAACTCTGATGGATAGAAAACACAAAATGGAAAAAAGGAACAACAGAACGGCCAATTTACTCGAGCATGTAGGAGTAAAATGTTGATATTTGTATGACAAGTGCTGAAGAAAAGACAAACTTGTCATGCCTGAAAACCTAATGGCTGTATGATGAATATTTCATGCACTGTTTTGTATTCAAACAAGTCACCTCAGGGGCAGATTTTTTTTTCTTTTACACTGCTTGTTGGAGAGAGGCTGAATGACACATGAATCAACTGAGAAAATCTGAATCCCCCCCACTTATGGGGGAGAAATTGTCTTTTTCATGTCCTTATCTCTCCATTTGCTCTGCTCAAGCGTTGACATTTAGAGGTGTCCTTTGCAGAGAGCGGGATGAATTGTTTTCAGAGCGATACTTCAAAAGCGGCATTTTCCATACCATTAGCTTGTCTGACTGTGACACGAGCCCACGGCTGCAGCATGAGCAGGCATAGATGGATAAGCATGACTTGAGCTGCACCATTAAATTGGCACAGAGAGTGACAAAAAAAACATGAGACACAGTCGTACAACAGAGGCAGTGTAAAGGGCATTTATTGGTTTGTATATCAGTGTGGTGAATACAACATGTGCCTGGAGGGGGAAGACTGAGACTTCTGCTTGGTCCTATAGTGAACTGAACTCCTCTCTGTATGGTGGCAACTCAAAGCACTGAAACTTAAGACAACAAAAGCAGAGCGAAAAACAAGAAAATCAAGAAAACCTCATCACTTTTACAACATGTGCAGCATTTATAAGAAAAAAAACACTGACAATTCAGAAATGTTGTAAGTCACACAGAACAAAATGGAAACTGTTTTTGTTATAGAAATTAACTATATTTATATTCATATTACATTTTTGTGTTATTTTAATTACTGAAGTTACTGTGTTATTTATTAATGGGTACATTACCTATATTTAAGCAGTAATTACATTCAGCATTATTGAGCTACTGTCATTTATAGTACTTTGTATATTGTTTCATTTTTATTTTTGTGTACGGTGTTTATGTAGAATCATTATGTTCCCGAATTGGTTCCTACCTGCCCTTGTTTTGTGGGGACAGGTATGAGTGATACACAAGAGAGAGTGAGTAATCAGTGAATAGATGTTATTGTATTCCTCAGCTGGAATGTGTTATTATTGTTCTGCTGTGTTGGTAAAAATTATACAAAGAGGAAGAAACAAATGTTGTAGCCCGTTCATTACCCCCAGCCTGTGAGTACAATCAAATATGTAAAGTTTGGCCAAACATTCTGTTGTATTCTGTACTACAACTTGTAGCATTTCTGTATACAGTTTGTATGTATTTTGACTGTGTTTGTGTTTCTTGTGTTGCATTGAGCCTTCAGGGCCACCGTAGCTCCAATGCGTAAACTGTCGAGGCAAAACTGATGTTAAAATACCAATTTACAGAGGAGTTTCTGCCAAGACTTAACAGTAAAGAAGCAGCTGAACTGACTAAAAAAAGACAGGTGAATCAATGCAGCTGTGCCGCCATCTTGTGGCTGCAGAGAAGAATGACTTCAAGTCCTCTTCATAAGAACTGACAATCATGGTTGTTAAGACAAACTGTTGAAAGGCATAAGGGGGTGACGTTTGTGACGTCTACAGTGTTTGTACCACACAATCAATAATGTCTGTTTCTGTCACTTTGTATGTCTTTCTCTCACCCACACTGATTTAATCCATTTTGTGTTGTAGATGAAAACAGTCCTCTCGTCATCAGGTAAAACAAACTGTCTTTACACAAAGTCTTTGAAAGTAGATGTGATTTGAATTTTGCAATTAGTTACTACAACAGTGATATGAAAGGACCACTCTGTACTATTTCACAACAATGAGGGAAAGGGTCCAAAAATGTTTAATTGGAGAGTTAATGAGGGATTAATATTGTCTGGATATTACTAGATGCAGTTGGAGTCGCTGTGCCTCGCAACTTTGACAGCACTGGGTGTGAGGATGAGGCCTAAAGTAACGCACCACAGTCTACATGAAAGGAGGTTTCAACCAAGAAACCATGGAAGGTGCCATTCCTCTAGTGGACACTAGAGGTACTAGATACCCGCATAAGACAACTCTGATTAGATTGAAGTCAGTAGGGTAGTGCTCCAACTTTAAGAGTCAGTATTTCAAGTGGTCTTAGTGATGTTGTTTTCTTGGTGGGGATCCTTACTCCATAAAGGGTATTAAGGCAAATGTTCAAGGGCATGTTTGCTTAATTATATGTGCACAGTAAGTCTTGACTTGACTCCAGTAGCTGTCAAGGTGGCCGGAAGCTTCAAACCAGCCCTTAAGGAGGAAACATTACCTCCATGTGTTCTTACAGGACTCAGACCTTTAGAGAAGGCTTTGTGTATTTAGTTGTTCTTTCTCTTGACAATAGACCTCTCCAGTTCTGCACCTTGTAGACATCAGAGATTTGCAAAGATACTCGAATTCAGTGGCAATTCTTGCCTCATGCCAAGAGAACCTGCCTTGGCTTGTCCGGTCTTTGCCTTCCATGATCCGGCTTTGGGCTGTCACACAGCGCAAGCTCCATCACACTTAATGTGATACTGTCGGAGGTAGTCCCTGAGCTGAGGTGGCAGCAGCAGGTTGTCAATGCCCTGGTAGGTGGTGTGGCTGCAGATCACAGCCCTGCACAGGTGCTGCAGGGTGAAAGGGAAGGTCCTTGGAAGCGGTCGGGATAAAAGGGGCTCAAAGAAGAGGCAGGTGGCCGGGTCACTGTAGTGTCGCAGTAGTCCTGTCACACTGGGATCCCGGTACATGCACGGGTCACGCACATCAAAGCTGAAACGCTTTTCGTTCTGCTCGATGCGTGCGTGCAGGGAGCGGCTGTAGCGACGGAAGCTGACTGAGAAGAGGAACTCATCCTGAGCAGAGTCTCGGAGCAAAAATGTTCCCTCTGGTTTGCCCTCCAGGAGCTCCTCTGCCTCAAAGCGGTTCAACACACCCCAGTAACAGGAGCTGTTGTTGATCTGGAGGAGATCCGGTACCAGGATGTAGTCAGTGTGGCCACAGCTGCCCTCTGCTCCCCCATGAGGACAAGAAGGGTCCCAGTCCTCCAGATTAGTGCCTCCAGTTCCAGGAGAGCAGCAGATGTCATCCCAGGAGAGAGGCGTCTGTGGTGGGGAGGTAGAGGAGGAGGAGACACTGGGTTTGAGGGGAGCCTCCATGTGCTTGAGGGCATTTGAGTGGGTAGCCTGATTTTTTATAAGGTGCCAACATCGGGCCAGTTCAGACTTGGGCGAGAAAGGACACTTGTCCTGCATGAGCTCTGAGACATGGATCTTGCGTTTGGTCCAGAACAGCACTGAGAAGGGTCGCGAGGAGCCCGATGCATGGTGGTGATGATGATGGTGGTGATGGTGAGAGCGCAGTGGAAAACACTGGCCCACAGCATCCTGGAACTTCTGCCTTAGAGAGCGGCGGGTCAAGGCCTTCCGACACACTACATCAATGTCTGCAGATGTCAATGCTTCCCCAAGAGTGTTGCAACTACACTTTCTCTCTCTGCGCCGCCTTGGACAGGATGTTGATCGTACACCCAGCTCCTCTGTCCCCTCCATCTCGAGCCCTCCAGGACTTGACCCGTTTCGAGAGCTCCGGGAGCGTTTCTTCCCCCGCCAGACATAACTGTCTGCACTCCAGCTGCGGAGGCCACTTTTGGGACGTGTGTCGGAACCTCGTGGCTTCTTCTCTGACATGGCTGCTTCCTCTTCTTACTCTGTTATGCATTAAAAAACAGACGTCTTTGTCATAACTGTATTTCAGGGCCATGTCTCAAATCATCTGTGAAACAATATGTCATCTATTATCAAAAAGTTGCTTTTAATAGAGCAGTGTACAAAGCCCCATTGATAAAAGGAACAACTTCTATGTTGTTTTTTCACCACAGAGAGCACAAAAGTATCAGTAAATATCATTTAAGACTTTGCAAAGTCCACTCTGTGATCTCTTTAGAACAATTTAAGTCGGGAACTAAATGGTGCCATAAACCACCCTTTAAGAGTTCTCCAACTCTTCAAATCAATTCAGATTTTTCACGATTTTTTAACGGGTCAGTATTTAGGAATTAGGAGCATATATTGGCAGAAATGGAATATAATACAAAATGTATGTTTTCATTAGTTTATAATCACCTGAAAATTAAGAATCATTGTGTTTTTGTTACCTTTGAATGAGCCATTTATATCTACATAAGGAGTGGGTCCTCGTTTATCGAGACGGCCATGTTGTACCGCCATGTTTCTACAGTAGCCAGGAAAAACACTGGCTCTAGATAGGGCTGTTCACGTTTGGCATAGGGCACTGTAGCTCACAGCCCCTCTGTGATGAGCAGCATTGGAAAAACTTTAATTTAAAATTTAATGTAAAACTGATTTATTCAGGGGCGGCATGGTGGTGGGGTGGTTAGCACTGTCGCCTCACAACAAGAGGGTTCCTCTGGATGAAGAGGTGGAAGGATGATTGTAAAAATTGTTGAGTAGTTTTTGACACGAGCCATTTTTGGCTTTAGTCCAACTATTCATTTTTAGTACGGATCCTACACACTGTTTTATAAATGAGACCCCATGTCTGTCGTTTGAAGAAGAGGAGACCTCAGTAGATAATTCAGCTCCCTGTAAAAACCTACTGAACATCTGGATTTGAAATTATAAAAGAAAAAAGTTCAGCACACATTAGCAGGTGCTAGGCTAGTGGCCCATCTTGGACATGCCATATAGTGTCTGAGAGAAACGTGAAAACTGCTTTGTTCGGTGTTTTTATCAGTTTAAATCACCAGGTCTGTTTCTTTAGGAGAGGAAGACACCTCTGCAGATAATTCAGCTCCTGGTACAGACCTCTTGAACAATGAGGACAACCGTGAGTTAACGTTTGGCTCACAGGAGAAGTTTCAGCTGGTTGCAATCTGCAATCCTCACCGCTAGATGCCATGATATCCTACTTCTGTAAGGCTTTGCAAAGTCCTTTTCTTCCTGATCTCGTGAATGCATTTTAGTTGGGACCTTAATGGTGCTATAAACATAACTCTTCAAATCAATGATGGACTCCTTATCCTGACATTTTTTTAACCTCTTCTTAAAAATGTATTTATCTGATTCTTTTAAGTTACACCACAACTAAAAAAAGAACAATTCCAGGATTTCCTTTAATCTGTGTGTGCAGGACTGCTATCTAATTACTTGGTACAAGACTAACAGGCTGATGTGGAGTTTTTTTCCTGATCATCTCCAGTGGCAAGAAATCAAATTTAAACTGCAGAGTTCAGAAACAGCCTGCAGATGAAAATAGAAAAAACAAACACTAAAATAGATTTAACATGTACCCAGACAACATTTCATGCTTCATTCATGAGATGCTTCAAGAGGAAAGTTTTCTTAAATTGCCTACAGGGCTACAGTTTCAACACTTCAGTCATACAGTGATAGATGGCAGCAGTTTGCAGAGATGGTCTCTGAGAATAATAATGTAATGGAAGTGAGCAGCCTGTGAGCAGCAGCAGGAGGTTTAACCTCACATGCTCGTAATCACTTGTAATTAACTCTTTGAAGATTAATGCAGAAGATTATCTTACCTTCCAAACAGTGTCAGACATCCACATCCATGTTATGGCCACTGCACATTAGCGGACATGTGTGACCTGCCTGCAGCCAGCTCCAGCTCTAACAGACAGCAGACTGTTCCGCTTCCTATATAATTATGATGCCAAATCCCTGAGGGGGCAGCAGTTTCCTCTTCTGTCAGGGCCGGGTCTGAATGAATGAATGAATGAATGAAGAGGGAGAGAGGGAGGTGGAGGGTTGAGAGGGTTTGAGCTGGGAGAGGGGAGGGAGGGGTGTAAGGGGAGGTTTGTTTCAGGTTAATGGTACTGAGACATCCTCTTTTTTCTTCTACATTTCCTTTACACATTCATTGACAGATTCAATCTCCCAAAAGAAAGAGAAAAAGATAAGCAGAGCAGCCAGAGAGTGCTTTTTTATTCTCAAAGTGAATTATTTCCGCCTGTAATTCTATTTCTACACACAGATTTAAGTTGTTTTAATTTCATCAGCAGCCCATGTCTTAACTTAAAGCATCAAAGCACATTTCATGGGGAGCTTTAAATCTGTTTGTCTGTCTGTGCAGGATGCCAAACTACAAACAGATTGTACTCCTTAGGTTTACGAGCAGCCTGCACACACCACCCGCTTCGGCGTATCAGAATCTCTCTAATTAACCATTCAGCCCAGTAGAGGAAACAACCAAGCATTTTAAAAAGCTCCACTTATTGATTGAATAACCTTTGAGTTTCCCAGTTAAAACTTCCAGCAAGTGCTGCTGAGAGGGCTCATCTGTCAAGGTGATGTCATGCACGCAGCGTGGACGACATTTTGGGAGATCTATAATTCATGAAACAAATAGACTACATCTATCAGACAAATAATATTACTCCCAGTGGTTTTATGTTGTGTGTGTCCTCTAAGCCCTAACAGATAAAGGATAGTCATCAATAAATGCCTGACATCTCAGATAATGTAGTGACACTCAACTTCCTCTTAACTGAATATTTAATGCTCTTCACATTATCACGCAGCCCGGCAGGATGATAATGCCACGTGTTCTGGCAAACTACCAGATCAGTTTATCTGCCTCCAAAAAAAAAAAAGTAGTAAAGAAACTGAAACTAAACTTTGGCTGAAGGCCCCAGGGGTAATCCAAATTAAAATTTTGTCTCTTCTCACTTTGGCTCCTTCAAAGTGTTCAGTCAAAACTGAAATCAGGAACCAATGAGCAAGAAAGAAGAAGAGCAAAGAAAATAGTGGTTTAAGTGATAAAACTGACCCCTGATTTCATATGATTTATCCATTAGATCTGGTCCTCAATTTCTGACATGTAAGTGTTTGAAGTAAAACAAAACTTCAGCGTCTACATCTTTGCTAGAGGCTCTGTGAGGCTGCACTTAGGTAAAGTGCTTTGTGCTATATGCTAACATCTTCATTAGCATTCTCTTGTTCACGAAGCTATTCTTGGCCTACTTGCAGCATATTTATGTGTGTACATTAAGCAAAAAGAACAATAAAAAAAATGTCTCTGCTCTCCATTCTCAGAACAGGGCACGTACAGAGTTTGGCAAGCGAGCATTTACACTTGCAGCTCCTCATATGTGGAATCTTCTGCAGAAGGACTTAAAGTTGCACAAATGAAACACCACGAAACATGAAACCACACAACAACAAACGGTGTTTAAAATCAAAACTTTTTTTTATGCAGGCCATGTCAGATCTTGCAAGAGCCATCTGCTGCATCATCAGCTGTACACACCATGTAATCCGATTACATCAGAGAAGGATAAGTGTTACTAGGCAACACTTCCATCAAGTCATTCACAGATTCTCAGAAACTCAGCATTTACCGCACTCTCCATGAAACATTCAGCCTCTTCATTGAACGACGGCACAAATTGATTGGGAAGAATAATGGATCGGAGGAAAACACACACAAACACACACAAACAGGAAAACACACAGAGAAACACACAGAGTCCGGTGAACCAGCGAGAGAAAGACACTTGATCTGAAGCGGAAGACTTAATTTATCAAAAGCAGCATGAAGTTAAAGCATGATTAAAAAAAAAAAAAAAAAACAGGAAAGAAAAATCTACTAATCTTTTGTTTCCTTCCGTCACAGCCTTAATTGCTGCACTGTAATTGCATCGATCCAATTAAACATTAATACAACAGACCACTAATAGTTACTCACAGAGTGGAGTAATACAAATGAAGTACAGTACATGTAACAATAATCAAGACACATTTTTGAGTGGAGACTTTAAGGACATTTAGGATTTGTGATCTGATCACCCAAAACAAATGTTAACACCCAGAGGTAAACAGGGTCAGAGGGTAGGAACACGTGACCGACGTGGTTGTATGGAAATCAGAAATTGGAATTGAAATTCAATGCACTGGCCGTCACTGTCCTCCGCTGAGGCAGGCTTACTTATGGCTCAAGAAGCCTCTGGGGTACATTGTCTCTAATTTAGATATCCAGACTCTTTCAGCCAGTTTGGATCACTTTGGATGACTGTGGCACCGATGGCCATCCTTGAATTTAAAAATGGCTGACCAAAGAATTGTGGGTCTCCTTTTGTCGCATAATCTTGTAATGGTGTTGGGTGAACCTTTGTAGTAGAGTATTTCCGGTTTCCCCGACATACTGTGTACCACATTTTAAACAGGTGATTAAATCAACACAGTTTTTGGTATGAGGGCTTCCTCAGGCCGTAGTTTTAAAAACATTATTATTGGCTTTGCTGTGTAGCCAGATTTGTTGTGTATGAAATTCCCCATAGCCCCTTGGTTTTGGCATTACCAGGGGCTTGACCTTGGCTTTGACTAAATAATCCCTTAAATTCTTGTTCTTTCTGAATGCGGTGATTATTCTGTGATCTTTTAAGACTGTCACTTCCTTGTGCCACTTGAGCCCCTAAGCTCTTTCCCAAAATGATATCGTCTGACTCCAGTAACGGAAACAGATGGTGAGCAGCAGCAGAGCTGAGCACCAAGCTCGGACCTTACAGATATTCTGTGTACAGTCTACACTATAAACACACATGAAGCCTGCTCATATCTGCTGCACCAACTTACCATGAGTGTGTGTGAGTGTGTTAGTGGGGTGTGGCGCAGAGTTTTATCCAGGAAGTGCCTCCTGCAGTGGGTGAAATCAAGTCGGCCCATTAACCTGCTGCAGCCAGGACTCGACCAGGGGCTCGTATCAGTCCACATTACAGAGGCATCGATCCCAAGAGCAGCACAGCCGACAGGAGCAGTCATGAATAATTGATGCTGGACTGATTGAATGGAGACTCTACTCTGCTTGTATTTTTATATGAAGGCTATTATAGTTTTTTATTGACATTTACGCAGTCAGAAGTGAAACTGCAAGATGCATGTGTTACAGTTTCAGAGGGTTGTTTGCACTCAGCGTTAGAGGCACATGTTCTGTGAAAGCATGTCTTATCATTTTGGTTTATTTTTATTCTTAGACTGCTCACTGACAGACCTGAATGTGAACGGAACATGCCATCACAAATCTGCATCTTTTACAGATGAAGTGGCCATATCACAAACCTAAAGCCGCTCTGATCAATAGGTATATATTAACAGTGGATTAAATGGCTACGTGCAATATGACCACAGAGAATCGACTGTTCAGTTCCTCTCAGCTCTACACAGCATTTTAGCATCTTCCAGCTCATTGTTTTCCTTCTCCAGCCTGAAACTTTACTATTGAAGTCCACTGTCGCCTTCCTGAGCAGCCACAGCAGGCAGCTATGAAGAAAACTCAACAAACAGCAGGCACAGTTGGCACCAAGCTGGTGAACATAGTGGTGCATTTATCAACTGAAGAGCCAGATATTTTACCTCAGGGAGAACCAGAGCTAAAAGTAGAGTTAATATTGGACTTACATTCATCAGATGGACCAAAAAATAATTCCAAATACATGATAATATTGTTCCATGCCTGCTTGATGTGTAAATAAGACACTATTATCCGCCACCACCTTGTCAACTTTATAAGGTGTTACTATGTCAGTGTAGTGTTCATGGCTTGCTGCATTTCCCTCCAAGGAGCCAAATAACGCAGGTTCAACAAACAATTCAAGTTCTTAATACAGCAATCACAGACACAGATTCTTCAGTACCAACTTTTTCTTTATTTGTGTCTGAATTTTATGGAAGCCAATTTTTGCCAGTATGACGAATTAAGATCCTTTAAGTCATTATAAAGAGACACTTTATTAAAATTATGATTTATTATCTCAAAATAATGAGAAACCTTCTCAAATATAATAAGTTAGTATAAAACATAAGATAAAATAATGACATACATGCACACTGTAAAACTTCATTTTAAAGGCCCAGTCCCTTTTACTAGCCCAGTGTGGCTACATAGTTTGACAAATCAACGCCTATCTCAATTAGACGCCCGGCCCTGTTGCCAAGCAGTTAATTTTTATAGAAGTTCTTTGGGTGTATAAAAGCGGGTTTTTGGCTTCTTGAGCTCACATTAGTTAGCCGCTTTGATTGCACATACAAATATGAATATTGAAACTTTTGTCAGTATGGAGATGCTACATATTGTTAGCTCAGTTAGATTCTCCACAATTCAGTCGTTGAGTTAATTTTACTGAAACAGTGATTAACAAAGAAAACAGAAATGTACTGAGATGTACCAGCACGGTAAACAAGAGAAATGTGTGTCCATTCCTTGATTACCCAGTAAGCTATTCATATTCCTTTGGTCCGTAAGGGTCCTCAGATCAAAAGAATCAAAAACGTTTTTCAAAAAAATTAATCCAAATTGTGAATATTGTTTATCAACAGGATAAAGTGATGTTGGTGTGCTGTAATCCTTTAGTGCCATTAAACGGATGTCATATCTTTCTCTCTCTCTGATGTGGAAATGGACTTCCAAAGAATCTTAAAATCAATAATATAAGAATAAGTGAGCAGGAGAATAAGAGTGACACGTGAGCATATACAAGCTTCAAACATAAACGTGAAATTTCACAATTTTTGAGAATGTTATTACATGGGTTAATAAGGTTGTGTGTTTCAAGAAACACAGCTGGCTGTGTTAGTAAGAGGAAAGCCATCT